TAAACTAGGGCTGCACGATAAATCGCATGCGATATTTAACGCGCATCTTATCAGTAAAGCTGGTTCTGTAATCAGCGGTAAATCTCCATCACGTGCGTGCTTTCACATTGAGCAGCATTAACTACACAGAGCCGTTGTTCACTGACGAGCTGCGCAAAACCACGATCATATTCGCACGATTTTTTGCGCAGCTCGTCTGTGAACAACGGCTCTGTGTAGTTAATGCTGCTCAATGTGAAAGCACGCACGTGATGGAGATTTACCGCTGATTACAGAACCGGCTTTCTGACAAGATGCGCATTAAATATTGCATGCGATTTATCGTGCAGCCCTACTTAAAATGAAATGAAAGGCCATTTGAGGTGCATCAGCTCATGTCATTTCCGTGCGGGAATAAAGCAGTGCGTTTGATTCACGGCTGTGTGCTGTAAGATGTGATCTGTGAGCCGGACGCTCTGGTAACTGGGGTCAGGGTCTGCTTTACGACTGACTGAACTCCAGCTCAATCAGCAGACTGGAAAACACAGCGTTTGTTCACATTATTAAACAGAGTGTAAGTGAATCCCTCAGGTCGTGTCTCAGCGCCGATACAGACGCTTCATTACAGCTCCCAGTGTGAAGAGCTAGACATTATGATAAAGTCAAAAACTCAAAAAACAAACAAACTGCTAAATGGATTTTAATTAGTTTGTTTTGAATTTTTGTCCAGAAAATATTCACTCAACACTGCATTACATATTCAAATTTGTTTTCATAGATTGTATTTTATTGATACAAGTGTATTTTAATTGTTTCAATGCTAATTTTTATATTCTTAATTTGTTTATAATTAAAACAAGTGAAAAGAGTTAATATTAAACTACAGTCTGTGAAAATAAGTCCTAATTTCTTGAAACATTCTGCTTCTCCAGTAAATTATTGTTTCTAAGATTTGTTGATGTTTCAAATGGAAAATGAAACAGAAATACTTGGTCAAAAGTGTGAAAATGCGAATCGGTCGCTCCAGTAAGTGACAGTGACTGACCTGCAGTGACCGTGGTCGCACCATCCGTGTCCACGGCACATCTGAGGACACTGCTGCCCAATGTAAACGTCATCCAGAGCCCACTCGTCCTGCTCCTGATAGTGATTCTGGATCCATCGGAAGCGTGTCGCACTCGACCTACAGCCAGAAAACAGCATGAAACCAGAAAACACTGTAAATGCATAGCAGTCTATGAAGATGAATGAACACTGGTAAAATACGGCCATTTCCATCCTAAAATCAGAAATACTGCCATAAATATGAGCAAAACAGGTCGTGGGAAAATGCCTTTGGTGTTTATCATCTTGACACATTTGCTATGTATTGTTTGTAATATAATATGACTATAAGACTTTAAACGTCTCTTTATGGAAGTAGTTTTCTAGTTATAAAAGGAGTCAAATTTGTATAAATATTCACTTTTAAAAATAATGTCACATTTAATAATCCGATGTCTTGCTCCTGGAGAGGAGAGTACAGTGCACTGCAGTCAGTGAATCTGTGTGCAGTGTTTGTGTCTCACCAGGTTTTGTACGGCAGTGGAAGCGTGATGCGTCTCCAGTCTGTGAACTCAGACGGATGGTAGACGCTGGACGCAGTGAACTCAGAGCAGCTCGGCATGCCGGGGAGACAGGCCTGTTACCCACAAACCACCAGAAACAGCAGTTAACCTCACAGTGGAGACCACAGGAATCACAGCACAAGGAATCATCTATAATCTGACTACATGTGGAGTGCTTTAGATTGCTTCTACAATCCTTACAAAAAGTGCGGAGGTTTCTGAGTGAAGACCCAGAGGCAGTATCAGATGGTGATACTGTCAGTACTTGAATGTATACTGTGGTCCTCAATCATTAGCATGGTATTTACATCATACTCCATTAACATGGTCACACTATGGTGCATTTAGGTACTTTTCTCTTGGTGAAAACAAGAAGCATTAGAGAATATTTCGTTTTTCTCACCTCTTTGACGAGATGCCAAGTCAAGCCGTGATTGGTGGAGAACTCCAGCCGGACCTGAGTGTCGATGTGAGGAGACGGTTCGCGTCCGCAGCCCATGACCAGCGAGAACTGGATCATGTAGGACGCGCCGATCTGCATGGATTGTGTTTCCACATAGCGGATACTGGAGGACGAGCCGTGATCGCCTGAAAAACTGAGCAAATATTTACATCATTGTGGTTTACACTTTCATTTCAGACGGAGCCCGAAGGGAAATGCTGATGCTGTTTGGATTTCAATGCATTATTAATTGCAGAAATATTCTGTTTGCTTTGCATTGAATACAAAAGCAATTTTCTGTCTCTTTGCTGGTCTGGCAAATGGTGACGAACTTCGGGATCTGAAACAGAGCTCTTTTTGTGCTTTTTTGTTCTTGGAGAGCTGGTGTCAAGTGAGACTGTAGTTGGGTGGGTTGTGACGTCTGAGCTCATGAATAGTAATTAGAATTTTTTTATTGTACATTAAAAGGTAATTCAGTTCCATTAGAGTAGCTTTTATAGTATGGATTAGATGTTCTCCCAATTCTTAAATCCCAGAAAAAAATCATGAAAGTAGTGAAGCACAAATGCAGTGATGTTCATCTGATCAATCGGTTAGGGTCTGTTACCTGATGTTCGTTAAGCATCATAAACATAAAGCATCATGAAGTGACTTTCCAGCAGCTCCCTGTTTAAGCTCAAAATACTCATCACCAGTCACTTCCAACCACTGTAAGGACAGACATCATGATATAGTTCTTCTGTCTCTGTACTGAGATGTCAGTAATGCCTATATTTCACATTGATGCTTCAATGGGTGCTGATTGAAGTCTTAACTAATAATGAATGGTACTGTGGTGAACATGAGGCAGGTACCTGAGGGTCCAGTCGTGTTGGCAGTACGGCTGCACGTTCCCCAGATAGAAGCCCAGGCTCTGAGTCACGTCTAACACGTTACTGAAGTCCAGGCTGATGATGTTGAAGAGGATGGAGGTTATGCTGATCTCATCCAGAGCCCAGACGTCCTGCCCGCGGCCCGAATGGTACGGCTGCCACCAGCGGAACTGGACCCCGAATTTACGGGCCCCAGGAGGAAGCTCCACAGAAACGATCCTAGAAAGAGTCAATTCAGTAACCATCAACAATAGCAGACGAGCTGATCACACAACATATATTAAAGGGGTCATATGACGACGCTAAAAAGAACATTGTTTTGTGTATTTGGTGTAATGCAATGTGTTTATGCGATACTGGAGGACGAGCCGTGATCGCCTGAAAAACTGAGCAAATATTTACATCATTGTGGTTTACACTTTCATTTCAGACGGAGCCCGAAGGGAAATGCTGATGCTGTTTGGATTTCAATGCATTATTAATTGCAGAAATATTCTGTTTGCTTTGCATTGAATACAAAAGCAATTTTCTGTCTCTTTGCTGGTCTGGCAAATGGTGACGAACTTCGGGATCTGAAACAGAGCTCTTTTTGTGCTTTTTTGTTCTTGGAGAGCTGGTGTCAAGTGAGACTGTAGTTGGGTGGGTTGTGACGTCTGAGCTCATGAATAGTAATTAGAATTTTTTTATTGTACATTAAAAGGTAATTCAGTTCCATTAGAGTAGCTTTTATAGTATGGATTAGATGTTCTCCCAATTCTTAAATCCCAGAAAAAAATCATGAAAGTAGTGAAGCACAAATGCAGTGATGTTCATCTGATCAATCGGTTAGGGTCTGTTACCTGATGTTCATATGGTTAACTTCGTTAAGCATCATAAATATAAAGCGTCATAAAGTGACTTTCCAGCAGCTCCCTGTTTAAGCTAAAAAAACTAATCACCAGTCACTTTCAACCACTGTAAGGACAGACATCATGATATAGTTCTTCTGTCTCTGTACTGAGATGTCAGTAATGCCTATATTTCACATTGATGCTTCAATGGCTGCTGATTGAAGTCTTAACTAATAATGAATGGTACTGTGGTGAACATGAGGCAGGTACCTGAGGGTCCAGTCGTGTTGGCAGTACGGCTGCACGTTCCCCAGATAGAAGCCCAGGCTCTGAGTCACGTCTAACACGTTACTGAAGTCCAGGCTGATGATGTTGAAGAGGATGGAGGTTATGCTGATCTCATCCAGAGCCCAGACGTCCTGCCCGCGGCCCGAATGGTACGGCTGCCACCAGCGGAACTGGACCCCGAATTTACGGGCCCCAGGAGGAAGCTCCACAGAAACGATCCTAGAAAGAGTCAATTCAGTAACCATCAACAATAGCAGACGAGCTGATCACACAACATATATTAAAGGGGTCATATGACGACGCTAAAAAGAACATTGTTTTGTGTATTTGGTGTAATGCAATGTGTTTATGCAGTTTAAGAGTTCAAAAACACATTATTGTCCACATACTGTACATTATTTTTGCTCCTCTCTGCCCCGCCTTTCTGAAACGCGTCGATTTTTACAAAACTCATCGTTTGAAAAGTGAGGTGTGCTATGATTGGCCAGCTATCCAGTGCGTTGTGATTGGCCGAATACCTCAAGCATGTGACAAAATGTTACGCCCCTTACCATATTTGGAAACACACAGTGTCTCCATGACAACAATATTTCAGTGAGAATAAAAGGTACGCCTTCTTTCTTTGCGTAAACATTTGGGCACACAGTGATGTAGATATGTGGGGGCATGTTTAAATGACGCGTTTTAGGAAGGTGTGAACAAGTCTTAACTTTTAGAAAGAATATCTCTTTGGGTTTGAGACTTTAATCTTTGTGAATTTACCAATCTTATTTTTGCACAAACAGCTTGTAACGCTCCAAAGACAAAGGGAAAACTTGCCATGCTGCTCCACATGACTTGAAATGACTAAATGTAAATGTAAATCCCATCATCTGGCCCCTTTAACTTATGTGCTTGACACACTGCAGAAGTCAGATATGCCATGCTGCTCCACATGACCGCAGTCCAGCAGTGGTGTGTGTGTTCAGGGCGGTGTACCTGGGCTCATGGAAGCCCTGATAAGCGTAATGCTGCAGCAGCGTCCAGGTGATGCCGTTATCTGAAGAGTAATGCAGGAGCACTCCTTCACCCGGCTGGTCTGGAGCGGGACAGGAGCTCGACGTGCTGCGACTGCCCAGCCTCAGCGTGAACTGAAGATACCTGCAGGAGAGAAAGAAACATGACCTGGGGCTTGTATTGAAGTAATGCTATCAGAGGAGTCAAGATGACACGAATATGAACAATAGTACCTTTCTGACTGAAGTAATAAATAAAAGTGATAAAAATGAAAGAGTCACGATCTTTACACTTCTAATACCAAAAGGCCCCAATAAAATGCAAATGTCTGAGTCAAACAGTCAGCCGAAGCAATGGCACATATATGTGTGCATGTTTATGTGATTTATGAGGACACACATTTGTATAATGACATGGGTATTATACTGATATAACAACATAAATGTGTTTTATGAGGACATTTCCTGAGTCCTCATAATTAAAATAGCACTAAAAGTATACTAAAGAATGTTCTATTAAGAATGTAAAAATGCCTGTAGCTTTCTGTGAGAGGTTTAGGGCTAGGGGCCCGAAAATACAGTATGTACAGTAAAAACGCCATTATGCCTATGGAGAGTCCCCATAAAACATAAAAATATGTGTGTGTACCTGGCTTGTGAACTGTCCAGGGGGGTCGTAACAATGTGTCTTCTACTGTCCCTGTTGAAAACCAGGGCTTTTCCGCTGGCCAAAACCCCACAGGCGAAGCTGACCTCTGCCCCCCGCAGTGAGGAGAAGCTGTGATAGGATGACAGCCTCACGCTGGAGAAACTCTCGGACAGAAACGCAGGGAAGTTCTGAGACACCAGCTCACACGCCGGACCGCTGAAACCATGGTCACACCTAAAGAAATATGAAAAAAATATATATTTTCCATAACCAGTAAGATGTTGCTGTTTTCACAGTGTAAAGAGTGTTTTGCTGCAGTTCTGACTTAAAGACGTTCATACTTGCAGCCCGTACGTGAACAGTGTCCTCTACCGGAGCAGAAACGCAAACAGGACGGCCCGATATACACTGGAACAACAAGAACCATATAATCATCATCGTCCCTGATCATCATTTATTGGCTCAAAATCACTGTCTAATCTGCTGATCACGCTCCATGGGTTTGACTATAATGTGTCGACATCTATCAGTAAATACGACCTGTATGTTGAATGAATGGCTCTTACCATTGTCAATCGCCCACATGATGCTGCTTCCCACAGCGGTCTGTCTCCAGCGGAAGCGAGTGCTGTCTGTGAGCGCGGAGTTGGGCAGAGGAATCGTGATCCTCGTCCAACTACAGGAACACAGAGAATAAACCACACTGTTAACAGAACAGACAACACGGATTTATGAAAGCGTCCGACAGACGCAGTGACTGACCCGCTGTAGTTCTCTGAGGAGTAGATGCTGCTGTGAGGCAGATGTGATCCGGCACACAGTTCAGGAAGACACTCGGTGTGCAGGAGAGACCAGGAGCGACCGTGATTGGTTGAGAACTCCAATTTGACACTGTGAGATTCACATATGCAGGAACAGAAGAAGAGGAGACAACAATCTTTAATTCACTTATTTTAAAAAGTACATGTTCTTAAACTCCTGGGATATTGATCTTAAGTTGCAGAGGGGGTTGTTAATCAGTTTCAGCTGCTTTGGTGTTAATGAAATTAACAACAGGTGCACTAGATGGGCAACAATGAGATGACCCCACAAAACAGGAATGGTTTTACAGGTGGAGACATTTTTTTCCCTATTCATCTTTTCTGACTGTTTTTCACTAGTTTTGCATTTGGCTAAGGTCAGTGTCACTACTTTTAGCATGAGGCGATACCTGGACCCTACAGAGGTTGCACAGGCAGTCCAACTCCTCCAGGATGGCACATCAATACGTGCCATTGCCAGAAGGTTTGCTGTGTCTCCCAGCACAGTCTCAAGAGCATGGAGGGGATTCCAGGAGGCAGGCAGTTACTCTAGGAGAGCTGGACAGGGCCGTAGAAGGTCCTTAACCCATCAGCAGGACCGGTATCTGCTCCTTTGTGCAAGGAGGAACAGGATGAGCACTGCCAGAGCCCTACAAAATGACCTCCAGCAGGCCACTGGTGTGAATGTCTCTGACCAAACAATCAGAAACAGACTTCATGAGGGTGGCCTGAGGGCCCGACGTCCTCTAGTGGGCCCTGTGCTCACAACCCGGCACCGTGGAGCTCGACTGGCATTTGCCATTGAACACCAGAATTGGCAGGTCTGCCACTGGCGCCCTGTGCTTTTCACAGATGAGAGCAGGTTCACCCTGAGCACATGTGACAGACATGAAAGGGTCTGGAGAAGCCGTGGAGAA